AACCATGCAAAACTGCGCTCTGCGTATCAAAAGCTCGAGGACCCGGGTTGAGCTCAAGGGGAATGAATGGGCTAGTTCGAGCACGCACGAGAGTCACCTGCCACGGAACCTGGTGCAGGCTGTGGACGAAATTTGGTGGATGAATCTTGGCCCCCGCATGCAGTGATGACGAGACAAGCAAGAGCCGAAGAGACTACAGACTGTCGGGGCCAAATGTGCTTGAATGGTCGCCAGAAGCGCGTGCGAGGAGATGAGCGCGCGGGGAGAATGCGAGGGAGGGGAAACTGCTCGGGCCAGTCAAGTTGGGGGTCGGACGTCGTGTGAGAGTCTCAAGAATCTCTTCCGGGTGGCAATCAGCCCTTAGGAGGAAGAAGGCAGGAGGTGGTAGTGCTGATGATGATGATGATGGTGATGGAAAAAAGGGTAAAGAAAAGGAAACAACAGTGGGGGGCGTCGTGGGATGACTGGTGTTGTTTCAGCTTTGTTGTCGGTGGAAAGAGACTGGGGTGTTGTGTTGCGATGATGGCAGCGGCATGTGGCTGGGAGGTGGAACTCGGACAGCGTGACACAGATGCTGTTTGACAAAAGCAGGTCACGCACGAACTGGCAGACACAACTGCACGCACTCTCCATCCAACTGCAAACGCCAGATCGTGTGTATGTGTGTGTGTGTGTGCACGATGGGGCAAGTCGGACGGACCCATCGGTGGGGGTAAAGACTTGTCGTATGTTCACGCTTTCGAAAATAGGAAACAACAAGAAGAGTCAAAAAAAAAAAAAAAAAGACCATGGCAGAATAAAGCGGCAGGCAGCGGTGGTGGTGGTTGTGATGTGGAGGAAGAAGAGGGTGGAGTCGAGCGTCGCAGCGGCCAAAGATCAAAGGAAAGCACAAGTCGGAAGAAAAAAGGGGGTGAGAGAGGACAGATATGACCTGGCCGTCCCCAACTTTTAGCCTTGTATCGCCACACCCCCCCCCCCCTCATCACAACGTCGATACGTGCGTGGTCCACTCGGTCGTCGTTTGCAAAACCATCCAATAAAATAAGCAAGCACGCACGCAAGCACGATAAGAGAGGATGCAGCTGCCGCTAAAACGTGAAAAGGCTGATGACAAACAAAAAAAAAAAAAAGAGAGAGGAGAGAGGAAAAAAAGGGGGTAGAGGGACGATGCATTGAACATGCCCTCCACAATCACGACCACGACCGAGGGGTGATTCGTCCACACAGGCAGGGGGTGGAGGTAGCAGGAGCAGGAACAGCAATGACGTGATGTGTGCGAGATGCTGCAACCGAGGCGGTGACCAGACCAGCTCGAAGAGGAAAAAAGCGCAAACACATCCAAAATGCCAAGATCAATCCAACCGAAACACACACAGGCTCAAGGAAGTTGGCGAGGAAGGACAAGGTGTTGGAGCCAGACGCAAAGAGAGTGAAGTCCTGGAGCACGACCAGTCCAAAAACATGTGCTCGCTCGCGCACCGGTGGTATGTGTCCGGGGGGTATGCGTCGGACATGGCCAGTGTTGTGGGAATTCTGAGGGGTTTTGTGTTGTGTTTTGTGCTTGGTGACTCAGCCCAGTTGGTTGGAATAAAGTTCCAAGAGGACCAAGAAACCGCTCGTGATGTAGCGGAGAATGTGAGGAGTAGGGGGAATGCTAGGCTGTTGTTTCGGGATGCCGTCAAGTAGGTGGGGGTAAAATCGAGGGCACCCCGCTGTGGAGCGAATGAAAGTTCGAAGAATCGACCACGCAAGGCCGGCTTGGTCCAAGCCGCCAAGCCAAAGCCCAGCCATACGCGTGTGTGGGTCTGCTGTTTGCGTGACTTGTGTCGGGTGGTGTCGGGTGTGTCGGGTGCTTGCAGCGTGTATGGCAAGGGTTGTAGGCACGCACGACGGAATCGTTGCGAGGACGACCGAGCTTGACCCTGATCACCTGGTGACTTACGCGAAAAGTGAGAAAAGTTCTTGGGTAGGAGAGGAGTGGTGTGCTCCTCACAGGCCCCTGACGATGACGGCTGGAACAAGCATTGTGCAGGCGATGGAAAATGAGTCTCGCAGAGACGACTTTTCAGGTCGTCCTTGCACTCGGAGCAGAGCGGACAATCTATCACGACGCTGGAACAGTCTTGCTCACCTGGGTTCAAGAAACGGGTTGGTTGTGGTCACGTCACTGGCACCAAGTCTGCAAGCGAGTGCGTCAGTCAGTCACGACCTTGCGTGGTCTATGCAAGGGCCTCACATTCCATGCAGATGGCAAGGCGAGTTTGTTTTTTCCCTTGGGGTAGTGGAACGGCCGAGACAGAAAGACACACAGGCAACCAGCCATCCAAGAAACACTCTGCAGTCGTACCTATTGCCAGGTGCACGCGAAGCTGAACGGCCAGGCCACGGCTCGGTTCAGTTCAGTCTAGCCAAGGGCAGGAAGTTTAAAGAACAAGGCAAGGCAGCGGCTCACATGAGAGGGCGAGCAAAATAATAACAATATCCTGATTGTTGATAACATCACACCAGCAGCAGAGCCAGGCAACGCACGGAAGGATGATGACGGAGCAAAGAACCAACACTCACGACAAGACTGAGCTGCCCGAAGCGAGCACGTTCCTCTGCGAATGTTCGCGCCTGTATCTGCATGCAACATACGCCTGAGAAACCGACCACCGGCCTGGGGCAGCGGGAAGATGCAGTCCGCCATGTGTGCATGTGGACGACGCACCTGACAACGATAGCGTGATGCACCTTGCAGCCAAACTATGGCCCGGTGCTGTGTGCTTAAACCACAGCTGAAGGCATGAACACGAGACAAGCAGTCGAGTGACATGCGAGGCGCCAAGCACAAGAAGAATGGGCAAGGTGAGTGAGAAAAGGAGAAAAAAAAAAGCGCGCGAGCGAACGAGGACTGCCCATCGGCCAAGAAAAACAAGACTCGGGAAGAAGAAGGAAAAGAGTGGTTGTTCTGGCTTTTTGAGTGGTGTGTGGGTGTGGAACCCAGCAGTCAGCAGCACAAACAAAAGAAATTCAAGAGCAAGAGGACACACACAATTCAGGCACGAACAAAAGACATGGGCAAACAACCCCCCATTCCCACAATATCGTGACCACCCACACGCGTTCATATGTAGGAAGCCGATGTAGGGTGGCATGGTTGTGGGTTCGCACCCCAGAGAGGCGAACCGAACCAAAAAAAAGGGGGAAAAGGCAGAACGGAAAGAATAAAAGGAACACTTGAAAAAAAAGGATAAGCGACACTGTCTGTGCTTGCCAAACATCACAAACGAAAGGCACTGCGAGGTGCCGATGCCATAGCCCCGGACAAGGCTCACCCGCCGCCAACTCGACCCGAGAGCTTTCGATGGCAGCAGCAGCCCAACGGGACAATCAGACATACAATCAAGGCAGAGATGGGCGCAACAGTCACGAGCCCCAACAAAAGACCAGATGGGAAAAACTTGTGGGAACCAAAGGCCAAACCGGCTAAATCTTACATCATGCTTCACAACCCCAAAGCACAAAATCCCAACACAGATGACAAACCAAGAAAATCACTACATGGAAGCTGGAAGCACACCAGCGCACAAAGCAGAAAGGTCGAGGACAGTGGCAAGGGCACTCCCGCCGCCGGTAACCCTTGACTTGATGCCCCGTCTCCTCTACAGCTCTGCCATGACACAACTGGCACACACACACTCACTCACTCACCACACACTCACCACACACTCACCACACACACTCTCTCTGGCAAAGACAAAAGAGAAGAAGGAAAAAAAAAAAGACGTCCGCAATTCCACCAACCCAACAACAACACGACGTGGGCAGAAACACCACACTCGCATCTCAAGCGGTCTGCTCGGCAGAAACATAAACAAACGTTTCTGAATCGGCCCAACAGCTGAATCGCGCAAACGCCAGCTGCGATACACACCAGCCAGGCCCTCGCGAAACGCGCGATGGTCACACAGATCCCACAAACATAAAATAACCAGCTTCCCAAGTCAATCCAACAAGCGGGAAACAAAACTCAATCAACTTTTGGTCAAGACATCGGATTCGGCACAGTTTGCACGCCAGACAGGCCAAACAAGGGCTTGACTCGAACACGGGCTTGACCATGGTTGCACAACAAGCACGCATAGGCAGGCGGCACCGCCGTGCACACGGGCACACTTGTACTGGATACACAACGTCAAGCTACATTGATGCTCGCACACCAACACAAAAAGAATGCATTGTGCCTGAGGTCATGGTTGTAGTGGTGCTGTCTGGTGCAGTGTCAACATTCGCAGACAAGGTCTGAGGGGACAAACACAGAGAATCGTGGTGTGCTGACAGAGATGCTCAAGCTTGACTCGCCTCATTCAACGGCGTGAACAAAAGGGCACAAAGTGCAAGATGAACAACTACCATTCGAAGTCACCACAAAAGAGCAAACATGCGACGAAGATGCGCAATGATCAGCAAAAAGGTTGATCAGAAGCAGAGGCAAAGACGGCGAGAAAAAGACGGCGAGCACTCTTTGAGTATCATCTGCTGATGAGACCCGACAGTGGTGACCCGGTCCCCTGTGCCATTCCTGAAGTGCTTCAACACTGCCCAACGAATGAAAGAACGCACCCAAATGGAACAACAAAGCCCAAGAATAGGATGTGTCTGCATGTGTGGCCGAGTGTATAGCTTGAGGCAAGACCTACGGTCGGCTCAAGCCTGAGCGTCACGGACACGGAACCAGGTGCAAGGTGTCAACGAAGAGTCAATAAGCAAACAGGCAGGTGCAAACAGCTGGGGACCGCCCGCCGAGAGGAACGTGGTATATGCGCATGACAAGCAAAACACAAGAAGCCGTATCACCCCAGCGTTCTCGAAAGGCCGCCAGGCTAAAGCAGGTGACCAGAAGCGACGGGCGAAACGGCGATGCTCACAGTGAAGCGTGTTGACGGTAAAATGGTGAGGAGCAAGCGTAGTAGACGAGGTCAAGGCTCAACTGCTTGTGTCTCTCTGTGTGTGTGTTCATGTATCTCTCTTCATTTCTCTCTCTCTCTCTCTTTCTCTCTCTCTCTCTCTCTTACTCTCTCTTTCTCTCTCTCTCTCTTGTCTCTCTCGAGACAAAGACAAAGACAAAGGAGTCGTACACATACACTTGCGTGGCAAAGGGTTGTTCGTGGGTGAGCAAAATAAGACAGTTGCAGCAGTTGACTGAACCTTGGTTTCAGGACACCCAGAACACCTCACTTCAATTCGGCTCGTCTCAAATCAGACTCACGCTTGGCCCAGTGGCGAGAGCGTCTGTGTGTTTGTAGATGAAGATGAAGGTAGGGGTGGCTGCTGCTACTCTGCCATGTGATTTTGTCACGCCTTGTGCGTCCATGCGCACGTCGTGCCTTTCGTGCTTGGTTGCTGCTGTTCCGTTCCGTGTTGGGATGAGCCTGTAACGGGGCAATCTTAAGCACGGAATCGACTGGACGGATGAAGGGAAGGTGTCGTCTCAGATTCGGATCGTCTTTGAGTGGCTGTCGCAAACACACCCTTCCTCATCAAGTCGGCTCTTGACTGGCAGAAAAGGAATGGACACTTGAAGTGAGCAAGTGATGGACCATGGAACGATCAGTCGCTGGCCGTTGATCTGTCTGGTCCATCGTCTGGTGAATGACTAGCTGCACGAGGTCGAGAGGACCTCAACGACTGCACCAACTCTCGAGAAGAGAAACACGAACATGAGCGCCAAGCTTTCTCTGCCCATAGGGCCTGGCAGAGTGGATGAGGGGGTCAACCGAACCATGCTGGTGTGGTCATTCGCTCATCGTCGCGTGCAAAGGCAGGGGAGACGAGGTCAAGAACCGAAAGCGCCCAGCATCAAGGAGAAGTGCGGTGCAGGGTTGCACAACGGTTGGTGGGTGGGTGACAGACGCAAGTATGGATCGTTTAGGGTTAGCATCATCCAGCGCGGAATCGAGATTGATTCTCAGTCATTGCTTGGCGCAGCCTACAACGACCAGAAAACCTGGTCAGACACTTTTTCTCACTGACTTGGGGCGTTTGCAGCTGTGAGCGTTGGCTAGCCAGTTAGATGCAGCCAGACAGGCAGACAGGCAGACAGGCAGACCGGCAGTTGGCCAGCCAGCCAGTCAGGGTTGATGGTTGGGTATGACGTCATAGAGACTTACCCCTAATGTATGTCGATGCGGTGTCAGGACAAGTGGCCTTGGTGCTTACAGCGTGTGGGTTGCAAAGCACCAACTCAATGACAGAGCATGCAGGATCTTGGGACATTGGTTCGAAGAACAGCAAGGCGCTTCACATCTTGATTCTAGAACATCACTGGTGGAGGGGTGAGTTTGTCATGCCGTGATCCACCACAACCAAGCGTACCCCCTCCCGACCTTGGCGTGCAACCCAAGACGGTAAAGCGTGTCGTTTCTGTACACTTTTCTCAAAGACCACCACGCCGCTCGAGCTCACAGGTCCTCTCTTATCACATTCTCTCTTGTCTCTTCTCTCTCTGTCTCTGTCTCTCTCTGTCTTTCTCTCTCTGTCTCTCTCTCTCTTTCTCTCTCTCTCTCTCTCTCTCTCTCTCTTTCTCTCTGTCGTTCGCAATCATAAACAAGCTCAAACCCTCCTGAACCGTCGCCTCGTTCTGAGCGTGGGGGACGCTTGCCCAATGCTTGACCCATTTTGTCCCGCCCTTTCCTGTGATCCACTCGGTCGTCGCTTCCACAGAAACAGACCGTATACCGTGTCCTGCTCTGGCTCAAAGGATGCACCATGTCAACGAACAGACGACATCGATTCAGATTGACCAACTGAATCAGCGGGACAAGCGCCTTTCTCGCATTGCTTCGCCAAACCTCAAAAAGTCATCAATGTCATTCCCACAATCGCTACGGTGCGTGTGCACGCGCGTGTCTGTATACATCCATACATGCATATCATGTCGTGCCATGCCATGTCAAGTCGCGCCTCGTCGAGTGGCAGACGCAGTCTAATGAGCTGTCGGTGCGCATAACCAACAAGCAACCCGCCATACTGGTGTACGCGGCACATGACACCACCCTTTCCGCCCGTTACCCAGGGGCGCAGCTGAACCTGTCGACCAGGAAGCTTGCATGGCAACAACAACAAACGAACGACCCATCGTCTGAACACGCCCGACTCATTTCGCCACATCAGCTGGATCATACTGCAAGACTCCTTTCGCAAAGAGTGGGACGAGGCGTTTGTTGAACACACTCAAGTTTCGAGTGGTGCACTCTTTTTAGAAACGACTGAGTGACTCCAGCACTCGAAGTCGGCCTCGTACCCCTTCAGTTTCGGGGCAAACAAACCCCTCTTGCTCCCTTCCTTAGCCATAATACGCCTCGCTCGCTCCATCCCTTGAATGAATGATGACAAATAGCGAAACCAGTGAATGGTCCTTTGCGTGACGAGTCCAGCCACAGTCTGGTCTGGGCAACAGGTTTGGCATCTCTGCTAAGATGAAATTGTTTTCGCAGCAAGCATGACCGCACGCCACTACGCCACGCCTCCAACACGCGCATAGTTGCGCCACAGATCAGAGGATACACCAACATTGAGATTGTTAACACCAGAGCACAAGGTTCAACACGCAAGAATCATGCTTCCAGCCGGAAAAAAAAAAAGACAACGCTTGGCAGCACGCGCCAAGGGTCAAGATCTGCAGGCAGTATCCAGCCCTCCATTTGTGCCGATTCAGTTGGCCTCTTCCTCCTTGTTGCCATGTTTCATCATGCGCGTGTACTCCACGTAGTCAAAGCGACCTTGATCGTCAATTGGTGCGTACTTGAACATCTCGTCGACCTACGGTGCAGCCGCCCCACGACATGAACCTCAACGACACGCCTGGATACCAAAATGACGATCACTGTCGGCTCTGGCTGTCTTACCTCCTCCTGGGTGAAGCGGTCGCCCATGGTTGTGAGCAGCTCCCGCAATCTGCTCGTGCCAAGGATCACACGTGAGGACGGATCGCTTTCAGCGTGACATACAATCAATCAGCACGAGCTAGAGCTGGGTTGGGACATCTTGTTAGCCAACATACCTCTCCTCGTCTAGTTTGCCCGAGCTGTTGGGATCAAAACACATGAATGCATTTTTTATCGTGTCTTCTGGATCCGTGCCCGTCATGCGATCACCAAAAATGGTCAAGAACATGGTAAAGTTGATGCGGCTTGGGGCATCACTCAGCATACGCTCCAGCTCTGCGGGAGTCGGGGCACTGCCTACAGAGCATAGCCATAGGATCAAACAACCAAAGTGAGCGGACCTTCATCACATGATCGAGCACAGCAGATGGCGCTTTGCTTTTGTCTGATGTGGTTTGGATTTGCTTTGTTGGTTTGCTTGATCGACATGACAGTCCTCTCGTCGTGTTTGTGGGCGAGCACGGCGCTTGATGGGAGGGGGAAGCTGGCATACGATCAACATCAAACTACAGCATGCCCTTCGCTCTTCTGTTGCCTTTTGCCCTCTGCGTGCAAGGCTTGAAAAACACGACTTGGTCCCATTCTCTTTGGCCCGCGTTTCATGCCCCTTTCTGCTGAAACTGGCAAAGTGAACCAGCTAGGGCCAAGAGCTCCAGGGTCCTTGGTGGGCTGGACACCGCGACTCCACTCGCCAAACCTACCGAGGCTATCATAAGTCTTGGCCAAATCTTCGGCGTCAATGTAGCCGTCGCGGTCGTTGTCAATCATGTTGAAGGCCTCCTTGAACTCTTGGATCTGTGTCTCAGTGAACATGGCAAAAACGTTCGAGGTCGCACGAGTCGTGCGCTTGCGGCGGTTGGCACGACGGGCAGCCTGTGCAGTATCAATTTGCGGCATGATCCGACCAAGCGGTACAGTCCCAAGACATGCCCATGAGCTTCGCACGCCACTGATCACTGCGATTTTCGACCAGACGCGCGTTGGGCTAATGGGCCATTGGGCCAATGCCACAAGCACCCACGAGCGAGACTTGTGACGTACCATGACGTCGGTATCTGTTGAAGAAAAGGAAGTCAGCGAGGGCAGAGCTGAATCAAGGCAGCAATATGAGCCGGATGGTCTCTACTCCCAGCGTGACGCGGTCCGCGAGCCAGTGAGCACTGCGATAAAAGTCTTGAGCGATCTGAATCTAGGCGCACGAATGCACCAAAAAGAAAAACTGAAGCCAAGACGCCACGACCCTTCAACCAGTTAAACAACAGCCACCAATAGGTAACATGGTCAAGACACCAGGGCCATTGGCAGCGCCATGGCACCTCGAAACTCGAGCCCAATTCAGATGCGCTCGAGCCATCCAAACCTGCTGCAATTTGCAAATGGTCCAAGACAAACCAAACAAAAGAGCTTGAAAATTTTGTCTCTCTCTCTCTCTCTCTCGCTCTCGTTCCTGTTGACTCTCTCTCTCTCTCTCTCGAAATCTCTCTCTCTCTCTCCTCTCGTTTTTGTTGACTCTTTCTCTCTCTCTCTCTCCTCTCTCTCTCTCTCACACAGCTTGCAGATGCACACCAGCTGAACTTATTTTATGTCTTTGACTGCAGCGGCAAGCTTTTGGTTTCAATACGCGAAATTTTAAAAAAATCAACACGGGTTTTCTCCTCTAGCCTTATACCGGAAAAAGTGTGACTGCTTTTGGACTCAATCAAAAGCTGACATTTTACCGTTGCGACATCAGTCTGTTTGCGCGGATGCGCGCCATCGTCATCGTCCGCTTCTTTTGCCGGGCTGCTGACTGGCTCCTCAGCCAGCTCTCGTGCCGAAACGAGGGGGTTCACGACGACAAACAGAGGGTTGGTGGAGCGTAGGGTGACTAGTTTGCTCAAGTGCAATCCTCTTGTTGTACGTGGAGAGGGATGCGGCGTAAGCGTGAGCGGGCACCGGCCAAGGCACCGGCCTCACACCGGCGCTCTTTGCCCCCCGTGCCGCTGCCCGCCGAAGCTTGGATTGAGCCCGAAGTAAGTCACATCTGCACACCAAGCTCCTTGGATTGCGGCGCCTCACGCCCTTCCATCACTGCCCTTGACATACCAGCTCGAAGCCATGCTGCTCCTGCTTTGCTCATGCCACCGTGTCAACCCATGCACAGGAAGACCCCTATGCGACGATCGAGGACCTAGATTCCTCGGGTGTGGTGGGCTTGGCCGGTCCAGAGCCCCCGCGCTATGCACCGGACGACCCCTTGCTCACCGTTGCCAACGTACGTTCTTGCCATATGGCCCCTCTTGCCTGCCCCTGCCCACCCATAGACTCATTCCACGCCACGCCTTGCAAACAGCATGCGTCCTCCTGGCAACAAGCCAGTGATGAAGCTGCAGCCGCGATGGCTTGCGCTAATGCCTTGGCGGCGCACGTATCCTTGCCGCCCGAGACCACATCCGCAACCACCCACTTTAATCGCCTGCTCTATGAGCTCCAATATCTCTCTGACGATACGCGCACCGAAGCTTTGTTGCGCGCGAGCCTCGATTCGGTTGGCGCAGGCCAACCTTTTGCTGTGCAGTGGAGCCACTGGCTTCGACACGCACCCCAGGTGGCGGAAATAGCTCCTTTGCTATCCAGTCGCTCCCTGCTGCCTGCTCACCCGGACCAGGCTGAGCAAGTACCCGCATCATTCACCACACCAACTGTGGTACGAGAACCGCCACCCGCCTCGATTGAAGCCACTGTACACCCTACATTTTGCTCTGATGCTGATGCTTGCATCTGCCATCTTGAATGTGGCGTGGTAGCCTGAGAATTTACCCTCGAAATTTGCAGACTCGATCCGACTTGCAGACCAAAGGTGCGTGTGACTTTGCCCTTGTCCCTCCCGGCCCCGATCTCGCCATTCAGTCACCTCGCGCGCGCGCCTTGCACACTGGACAGTTGGTTTCATGGCATTCTAGCTCGCGATCAGGCTGAAGCCCGGCTCGCTGAAGCCATGGCCGGCTGCTATCTCGTACGCATTGGCACCGGCCGCCGGCCGCCATTGCTCCTGTCTGTGCAAACGGCGCAGGGCGTGCGACATTGGCGTTTGGTTTATAACACCGCCGTCGCCAGCTGGCACATCTATGGGCTTGCACCAGCCTTGCCCCGTCTAGCCATGCTTATTCGACACTATCAACTTTACCCGCTCAACGCGACTGGCCAGCTCCTCGTCTTCCCCTTGAGTCCCCACGACGCTCGCCCTACTCAAGATCCAGGCGTGCGTCGGCAGCGCGACCGTATCGTCTGATTATCACCTAGCCTCAAACGTGGCCCTTCTCATGTCACGCTTTGGTGCCGTATGTGTTCCTCTCTCCCTCTTCTTGCAGTTTGAGAGGCTGCGGATATATGCTGAGCTTGGCGAACAGACCGTGGACGAGGAGGTCGGCGTGTCCCGTGGAGCTCATGCGTTGAGTCGACATCGCAGGCGCTCAGACCATCCTTCTTCTTCCTCCGTGCATTTCATCATAGGCGCTAAGCCGGGTTCATGCAAAGGCCACGCAGCAGCTGTCGGCATCCGCCGACTTGATGACTGCTGCGGCCAGCGGCAGCATGGCGCTGGCGCCAGCTGCCTCCCCGAGTGATGCGCAAGCCGTATCAAAACCGTCGACACGCCGTCAGATCCCCCGGGTTAGTTGTGTGCCTTTGCCCGCTTCGTTCTTCGGTCGACGTTTGGGGCAAAGCATGCGGTTGTGTTTGCCGTGTTGTTGTGGCGCCTGTCTGACGACGTGTGCATGTGGTGGTACTAGATTTCAGCACCCAAATCGCGAATGGACATTGGCCCTCCCCTGCCGCTGCGTAATCGCACTGTCCGATCCCGGCCGACGGGTAGCTCGTACGTGATTATTTTTGTTGTTATTCCGCACACCAAAGTTCACGCCTCCCAATTCCTCGAACCTTGCTGACACATGCGCGCGCATCTGCCGCCGTCTTGGGTCGTGATTGTCTGTATCTGTGTCTCTGTGTGCGTGTCGGGTTACACGTGTGTGTCTCTATGGTATAGCACGGCGGGTGTACTCGACACGTCCGCGTTCTCCGAGGCCGAGATGCAGATTGCGCTCACGACTGCGGAGCTTCAGGAGCGGATTCAGCAATTGCAGCATGAAGTTTACAAGGAGCAACGGCTTGCTAAGGCTGCTGCTGACATGTATGACATGCCCACGGGCTCTGAGGCTGCCAAGTCGGCGCGGCGCGAACAGTGCGTGCCTCCTCCCTGGTTCTGCTGTATATTATGCCTTTTTCAGCGGTGCTCGCGCACAGACACCATGTGCTGCTCCCTCTGACTTGGCTTCGTACCCGGTCCATTTTTTTACACAGGGCGCAGGCCTCCCTGGCCAGGCTGGCCTCACTGCGAACCACACTCCGTGACTATGTGGGCTTGCTGGAGGATGGTACTCCGGCCGCTGTCTAGCTGCAGTGCACCGAAAAACGGACCGAGTAAATAATGATATCATAAATAAGTCCTAGAAAGGTTAAATCGGATGTACATTGCTCAAATGCGTGGAAGCACGTATTTAACGCTAACATAAATTGACATGTGAAGTAACGCTCTTTGGTCTCGCTCCTCATGCGAACGGCGTGCGACCATGGGGGTGCTCGTGCGGCATTTTGCAGTCGACAAAAATCTTCTCTTTCTTCCTGGGTATTTTTTCCGACAGATGTTCAAGTTTGCCGTTTGGGTAACGCTTGTCACGGCCAAATGGTAAGAAAGGCCCCGTTGGAGGGTAGTTGTTTGTGGTTTATGGACGCTCAAGGGGGCCATGGTGGCTTGAAAGTAGTTACAGGCGTTGATCGTTTATTCCGGGATACATTCGCGCACACGCTCAAAATGTTGTTCTGTAAAGAACCCTGATTCAAAGATTATCCATCAAAGCCAGCAGATCACCGGCATCCCCCAAACCGCTCGGTGGTGCCGGTTCATCAAGAGGAGCCTCCAGCTCGGCCCGCAGCGCGGCCAAGCGAGCTACAAGCCGAGCAACACAAAGGAAAGAAATTGCAAAAAGCAGCAGCGTGAACACAGCAGAAAAACCATAAGAAAGGAGCGAGAGAGAGAAAAAAAAAAAGAAGAAGAAATTATGCGAAAATCAAGTAAAATTACAACAAAAAATCAGGCGACAGAAAAGTTTCAAAGCGAACATACCCGAGTTCGACTCGGCAGAAGCAACCGTCAACCGCGCCGTATGTGCATGTAGATCCGCGCTGCACGATTTCAGGCGTGAGATACAGCGGAAAGGCGCAAAGCACACACGCACACGAGTGACCACAAGCGTCCACGTACGGAGCCGACGGTGACAGCTCGGCAGTCTCGGCAAAGAGCATGAGCTTAAAAGTTTTTTCGGTTGGAGCTTGAGCACCCACGATCCGGGACAAAAGGTCAAGCCCTGCCAATGCAGCCTAGGGGGGGGGCAAGCACCAAGGCAAGACGCGTGGGTGCACGCTCGTGTGACCAGACTGCCTGATCAGAGATTCACAGACGGTGCCGCGCTCCATCGACACCAGGCCGTACCTCGTTGGTCTCTTGTCGAGGCTGATTGGGTAGAACTTGGACCGCTTTGGCTGGGGTCTCGTCTGGAGCTGGATCGGCAGACGTCGCCAGGGAGCTTGAGGTTGGGACCTCGACACCCACCAATAAACCGTCGCGGGCTCGACGGTAACTGACATTGGTCAGCATCACAAAGAGAGAGAACATGGCGGTGAATATTCGCACGCAGGTAGACAAGCTGCGCTCAGACTCGAATGCAATCACGCCCGTACAGATTATCACCCAAATCCGTGCCAAATTGGTGGGCCGAATAGTCGAGTGGTCGCTCTTCCGCTTGCTGTCAGGCACAGGCCCGCACTGGCGTGAGACGGGGCCAAAGCCGCAGGCGCCGGCGAGGGTTGGCAAGCTAGTCTGACGCACCTCAAACTTCGTCGCTACGACGGCATGGCTGCGTTCCGCCCCGTGCTCAAACAAGCTAACAGTCATAGAATGGGGCAATGTGAGGCGCCAGAAGGGTCACGACCCAGAGCAAAGAGAACTGCGGGCTCAAAGTGCCGTACGTGATGGTACCCGGTACACGGCTTCCGCGAGCAACCGGCCCCTCGCGTACCAAGCGAGCACGTCCGTCTTGTCCCTGATAGTTCGCTTGCAACAAGAGAGACACCTGGACAAGAGGACGGTACGGCATGACGAGGGTCGATCCTTCTCAACCACACGAGTATTGAGAAGTCCGCACGTCATCGTACCCGGGTGTGCTTGTCCTGGAGAATCATCAGCAGAGAACGCCGCATGCGCTCCCACTGGCCCGAGCTCATGTTCCCGTATACCTAAGGTTCACTCGACACAGCTGAGCTCCAAGCACGTGTTCATCGTTGCCAGTCGAGCATCGGTCAGGCGCCAACCTCGAGTATGCGTTGGCTACATGCGGTAGCCAGCTCCTCGGCTGCACTATTGGCCACTATCGTGGTGGCCACAGTATGAATATGATTGAGCGTCAGGCCGAGCAGCTCATCAGCCGTCCGCATGAGCATCAGCTGGTATTTGCAGACCATCAGCATCAAGTCGTACAGCTGCAAGTCAGATCCACGTCATGGCTGAAGTCAGATAGCACGCACGCCGGTGGATGCCAGGCGAGCCTAGCAGCTCAGACCTCGATCACAAGAAAGCAGGAGGAGGTGGATGGAGCGAGGCCAGGCTCGAAGCACCGAGTTGAACGGACCTTGGACATGCTCTCTTCATTGAGGCGCATCGTGCTGGCTCGGCTCAGATGCTCGAAGATGGCATGGAGGCTGTCAGGGCTATACATGGCTTGTGGTTTGAACAGGGCATCCTGAAAGCTAGGAGCAAACAGAGCACGGGCGATATCTCCCAAGACTGCCGGACAAGGCCCCCAGCGCCCCAGAGTCGAGAGTGTGAGGAGAAGCAACGCAAACGAGAGGGCGAGGATGGTGGGCATGTGATACCGCGGAGTGATTTGTCCGAGGGCACATTTTGAGCGGTCAGGCGCTCATCAAGGACATAGAGCATTTCGCAGCCCAGATTGAGCACCACAAGAGGAAGGGCGCGCTTGGACATGGTGAAGCCTTTGATCCGCTGCCGCTTCGTACCCCACCGACAACAATACAGTTTCCCTTGCAAGCTTGTCTCTGTGTCTTTTTTTTTTTGTTTTGTGTTCGAAATTGGCTTGTCAAGATGTCAGTCACTTTTTGCTTGTTTCCAGGGGGGAGGCGCATCTGGGCGTCAAAAGTGTTGATTGAACGCACGAGTCAGCGGTGGGAGCGCACACCAGGAATGGGCGGATGAAAGACCAGAAGCGGTAGTCAGTGGCAAGCGCGCGCGTGTGTTGTTCAAAGTAGGCCGAGCAACAAGTACAAGGGTTCTGGCACCCCCTCATCAATAGACACCAAGGCACAAACAACAACAACAACGCCAAACGGGAGTACATTTAGGCCAGGCAGGCGATCCTATGAGAGCTGATAAAAGAAGATCTAATGAGGCAGGCGTCTCGCTTGCTGAGCCAAGGAGGCCTTCAATCTCTTCGAGATGCCGTGCGTTTGCCGCTATCGGGCGTTTGCTTCGGCTTCCAACTGCAGTGCTGGGTCTTGCTCCACCGCCGCTGCTGGTTGCGACGGCTGGGTGGCCAGGCAATGGATGCCCCCATCAAAGGGACTTGCATGTAGCTTGGGCTTGACCGGACTGGTCCAGGCCGTGTCATGCAGGGTTTGCCGGTCGGCGGCATGAACTTTGCGCATGGTCAATAGATGCTCATGCATAGCTGGTGCAGATGCGTTGGCAGTGGGGTGAGGAACGTGTGTCAGAAACTCGCGGCGGAGGGTGTAGAAGCGGTAGTGGTGCCCACGCAGCGTCGTGATGAAAGAAATCTTGTTCTTGTAGCGCCCCACGTATTGCTCGTGGTAACGTGGCAGGCGGGCACCCGACGCGTCGACGCGCTTGACAATAACAAACGGTTCCCAGTATTTGTCCTCCAGAGGGCCCTGGACCTCGAGCGGGAAAAAGCCTTCCATCATGTCACGCGACTCTTGAAACCACTTGTTGTAGTTTGTTGTTTGTACGCCAAAGGACCAGACAGCCGAAGGCGCGTCGCAGCGAGCCGGCGCAGGACGGATCTCCTTGATCAGCGGCATGATGCGGCGGGCGGTCACGTGAAAGGGGCGCACAATGCCCTGCGCCGCGTACTCGCGCAGCTTTTCAAAGTCACGAGGGATGCGAACGGTGCTGTCGCACTCCAAAGCTTCCCAATGGGGAACGACAAAGGCGGCGCGGTCGAGCGTGGCCATGGCCGGCAGCAAAAATTGGCGCAGCTTGGGATAGAGCGTGGAGGAGGGAACAAAATCCATGTCGCAGGTGAAGACAAAGTTGGTGCGTGCATGGTCCACAGCCAGATTTCGAAACACATTGATGGGCAGCTGGGGCTCTGAAGCAGGGTCGTGGCGGCGATAGCGATCAGTGTAGTAGTCGTCCTTGGTCGTAACGGGGTAGACGAGGATCTTGACGTTTGTCCAATCTCGCGCAGTGCGGATGATGGCCTCAATTTGAACCTGAGCCTTGGCGTGACTCGCCTCATCAAAGTCAAACACGGCAAAGACCGCCACCTTTGGCCCAGGCCAGGCATTGGCCAGCATGCCAAAGACATCGAGGCGGTCAAAGGTCGCTTGTGTCACGAGCGTGATATCGTCATAGCCACGGTCGTCTGCCATGCCTGCCAGGTCATCCTTGGCCACCACGAACCTGGTCACAGCATGCACATAAAAGAAGGGGCGGCGGGGGGGAACAGTGCACATCCACAGCCAAGCATGAGCCATTGTTAGGAGGAGGTGGAGGGAAAAGAGGCATCGCAGGAGCACAGATCATCCTTTTTTGCAAGGAAGGAGTGTCGCCCGTGCCGACTCTTACCAATCGTTGTCGGCACCATAGCGAAAGCCTTGATCATCGGGGCAGCAGCGGTTCTGCCCGCACTGGGCCACACAGTATCTGCGGATGCCACACGAGGGAACCGGTTTTTTTTTTGAAGATGAGGAATACGCCGTGATGACTTGATGTTGGGCGTAGTTTTTCCTATCCCGGCTTTTCAGGCCATAAGACAGTGGGTGTCACGTACTTGACATCGCGTAAAAGCGTGTCATAGCTTGCCGCAAACTTTTGCCATTCGTCTTCGAGCGCGGCCAGTTCACGTGCGGCTTGCGCAGTGTTGTCGGCCGGGGTCCCAGCTTGAGATTGTGACAAGTTGCATAGGGCCAAATTTTTGGTGGTCATGACGTTGGGATTGAGGATTTGATCCATGAGAGCGGCTTGCTCTGGAGACACGCGTTTTACTTGGCGTTCCTCGCGGAGCTTGGGTAGTGCCATCCGGTTGGGTTCTGAGTGGTCAGGATGCGCAGTATTGCTCAAGCGGTGTTGCTCTGCCAGCGCGCGGGCACGCTGGATTTGAAGGTCACGGACGTGCTCGGTGGCCTCTTCTAGACGGTGGTCGACGACATCGTCGCCAATCATGGATTCGGCCACAGTATCCAAGTCATACGGAATGATGATGATCGAGATCATAAGCAGCAGCATGAGGACCAAGGTCGTGCCACAGGCGCAGAAGATGACCTGCCGCAGCCATCGCGTGCTGCCACTCGCGCCCGCCATGACCATTGGCAGCGGTCTGAGCCAAGGGCTTGAACTGGCAACGAGTTATTATGTGCACAGTACAGGAACAATGGATAGGATCGGTGACGGAGAGGAACCTGGATGTTTGACACTGGAGCTGGAGCAATGGGTTCAAATGATCAAACACATGACGCTGAGTGCGAGCCGCGTTCTCGGGTGGTGGGTACAAGACGCCAGAGGGTTGGGAAAGCACAAATCGGCCAAAGGGACTGGATGTCTGAGAGCAATCAGATGACCAGAGGGGCACGTTAGCGCGCCGGGAAGCCAAGTAAGTCCGTTCAAAGTAGGTAGGAAGTGCTTGCACTCGCAACTGCGAGATGTGCAGGAAAATGGCAGTGCAAACTGATGTACCTTCTTTTTTTTTTTTAGTGGTTGAATGTAGTCCAAGGTCGTTGTTCTATACCGGCAGTGCGTGTGCGGCGCTCCTGCGCAGGCCAGACCAAGGAATTACTTTGACGAACGGTATTTCGGGTACTAGAGTAGCCGGCTCTTGAGTGTGTGCACGTCAGCGAGATTGTTGAGCAAAGAGAAGCCACCACCATCAAATACGACGGCAAGGCGGGCACGGTTGCTGCGTGAACCGCTCGCCCCGGCACGCTATACATCCTTTGCCCCCCACACACTTTGATCCATGTCCGCCTGACCAGTTCGGTTTGCTTGCACGCAAGCCTTTCTGATTGTCATGTTTTTTTCTCATCACACACGGCAAAAAGGTTGTTCTTTCTTCACCACAAGGAATCTCACTCAAGTGGGCAGGGACGAGGTGCTCCTCGGGGGGTTGACTACTTTTGGCGATCAAATTATTGGTCAGTTGGATGTCGATGGCTTTCGATTCATTCGGTTTCTTCGCGGTTGCATCCATCAGTCGGTCCGGTCTGTCTCGAGGGCAGGAGGGAGGAGTTGATCCGATGCGACCAGGAGTGTCGGGGTGGGGGTCAAATATTGCAGTAGTCCTTGAGAAGGTTGCTAGAGAGCTCGTAGACGGCGAAGGTGACGCCATTGAGTGGGAAAGCACGCAGGAGGCAGGAGGCTAGCCCATTGCCAAAGACACGTAGGCCATGCGTGCGATAGAGCTGGCGTGCACAGTCGACTACACCAGTGTACCGTGGTCGATCAAGGTCCTGCGTTTGCAGATGCGTCTTGATCACATCCAAGGGATAAACTGTGAGCCAGGACAGAGCCCCTGCCATGCCACCATTGAAGATGGCTACGGCAAAAGCCTCCACTGGGCCAGCCTCCACTACAAGTCACGCACCACGAGCGCAGGTGACGCCAGGGGGATGAGATGGGGGTGAGGGGCCGGGTTCGGGCACAAATTTGGATGCAGGCGCGCGCGGGAGTCGAAGGAACAGCGGTGCAGGGTCGACAGGCCAGTGGACGCACGTCGATAAGTGAGGCGACGAAAGTATTCATAGATGATGAAGTAGGCACCGAAGGAAGGCGCATCGCGCAGCATGGTAATGCCCGTGCCCTAGGGTGCACCCAAGCATGTGCAAGAGCAAGCATCGTCAATCGAGCCGGCACTCGTGTCGATGCACGGGGGCAAGACGGCATTGTCAAGCTATAACGGTCATCATGGTACCTTGAAGACACCCTGTGGTCCTTTGGTCCGAAAAATCTTGACCAGCTCACGCCAGGTGCTCGTCTGTCCATGGCCTTCACGCTGGGCCAGCTATCAGAGAGGAAGGAGCACCATGAGGACACGTTGTGGTTGAGACATGCGGGTGCGATCGCTCAATAAACTAGAGGCGTGAGTGGGGGGAAGGGTTGCAGCAAATGGCAGAAGCGTCAGAGACCAACCTGCACGCGACATTTGAGCAACTCGGTCGGGGTGCTGATGAGCGAGCAGAAACCGCCGGCCACGGTTCCTGGGGAAGCAGATATATGAACCCAGTTGCTTGAGCCTCTGACCAGCATCATGGGGACGGGGGGGGGGAGGGGGTGACAAACAACGGACACTGATACGGTCACATACCACTGGCCATGATAACGCCGTAGCTGTGACTATCACGGTGGGCACCTGCGGATAAGAGTCGCGAGGTGGCTCCGTAAGCCGAGAAGAGGATGGCGTTGAGTGCCCCGACGCCTGTATCGCATTGTCAAGCATCATGCGCACATGGTGAAGGTTGTCAGAAGACTCACATGATTGATTCACCTTCAAGCAGCGGCATGGGGTGCAGAGCGGGGCGGGTTGGCTGACAGGCTTACCAAGGAGCGGCGGGCCCACGCCTCGATAAAAGGCAAGGAGACCATCTTGACGGGCGATGTTGAGGACCGTGCCCATGATCGTGGCTCCCGGGGTATGTGCGGTCTGCAGCCGCACCTGTGACCCGGGCGTCCCCAGTGACATGACGGTGAGGGTCAAGGCAAGGACACAATCAGCGTGAAATCGCCGCCACTCGGGGGGCAGACCTTGACGATATCCAGGGGTTGGCCGATGACGAGACCCGCCGAGCCACCAAGCCAGCCAGAGATAAAATCATTGAGATTCTTGGCTGCGTGACAAGAATCAAATGGTGTGGTCAAGGATCAGAACGTGGCCAAAGTCAGTACTGGCATCTAGCAACAAGCGAGCCGTCAGGGCGGCACCCAGCCTATCGTGGGTCGTGGAGGGGACCTACCCATTCTGGTGGTGATGGGGGGGGTGGGGGTACTGGTTGTGGTTATTGCCGAGGCGGTCAAGGCCAGTGCCTCGGCCCAAATCAGTCCAGCGCTGGTAGCCCTGGCAGTAGGAGGGGTGGACTTTCACGCCAAAGGGTGTAGATGGTCCACGATCCGGTGGTGGGTGGCTGACCCGTGATGCGCTCCGATGATCTTGACTGACTGACGCCCCGACCGTGTGTTGATGTTCAAAGCGCAGGATGATCGCGGCAGCACGCACGGTCGCGCTACCAGAAGGCCAGAGCCAACTGACGGGCAGCGGTGTAGGAGGAGCGTGTCAGAGGCCACGGACAAATCTGCGAGAGAGCGAGTGCGCTCCAGCTGCCGTGAGCCAGCACGCACACCAGACGATGAAACTGGAGAGAGCGACGAGCGCGCGAAAGAGCGACAAATTCGCAGAACGTCGATATCGTCTGACAATCGAGGATTTGTCAGCACAGACAGTGGAGACAACGGGTGTTGTGACCAGATGGAATGCTACCAGCTGTCGAGGGCAGGGTGGAGTGTAACGGGGATGGCACTTTTGTAAGCAGTGCGCTGTGGGAAGCGGTGGGTTAGGAGAGGTAGAACACGGTGATTGATCGTGTTGAAACATCGTGACAAGACGGTTGGTAGCAGGGCCATCCGCCCCCTGAGCTGCGGACGCTGTGCAACGGCAGCTCGATGCAGGGCAGCAGATAGCAGATAGCGGATAGCAGTGGAGATGGCGAGGTCCTAATGAGACCGGGGGTTGGTGCTGTACCTCGATCAATGGCGGCGAGCCAACAAGAGCTGACCCACTCGTGAGCGGTTCAAAAGGCCAGTGTGGCGTCACAGCTCACTCCTTAGGGTCAATGTAACGTAAAGAAGAGAGAAGAAAAGAGAGAGAGAGTGAGAGAGAGAGAGCGAGAGAGAGAGAGAGAGAGAGAGAGAGAGAGAGAGAGAGAGAGAGAGAG